CCCCTACCCACACCCCCTCCCCTACCCACTTTGATGCATTTTTCAAATTTCGCCTTGGGGTGGAGTTATCTTTTCACAGTGGGGTAAGTTACACTTTAAGCTCCAATAATTAGATCTAAAGGTTTTGTAATCAATAAAATGGCAACAGTGCCCAAATTTATGCACCTGCCTAATTTTGTTTAACCAATTATTGCACACTTTCTGTAAATCACAAACTTAATTTCACTTCTCAAATATCACTGTGTTTGTCCCATATATGATATATTTTACCGATATATTTAATCCAAACAATCAATGATTTATAAAGGTAAATCAGGAAAATTAAAAAGGGTGCCCAAACTTTTTCATATGACTGTACCTATTAATGCACGGGACAGAGAATTAAGAAACATATGTATAGTATTTATACAGACAGAGTTATATTGAAGAAAAATTCCAGATCACAAAGGCAAATAATTATATAAGTAAATGTTAACCAGTAAAGCAATTGTTCATGCATATGTGGGTAATTATCCACAGTGTAAAACATTATCCAAGGTGCCTCTGCCACTCCTGCACCAAGCATGAAGACCATGGCATTAAAAGAAATTGTTAAGACTGTATAAGGTTCCCTTGTGAACTTATTCATCGCAGCTGGGGGATACATCGAACTGATACATCATCCTCCAGTATTGCATTCCGACCTCCCCGGGACTTTTGTGACTAAAATTTAACACCCTATTAAATGCCAATACATTTAGAGTGTCATCAGCATACAGACATGTCCAACTTGGCAGTGTGACCAAACTCCCAAGCAACAAGACAGAGAGCACGCTGCAGGATCAGCCACCACATGAGCCAGCACAACCTGTTTATTTTCTCTGCTTTAGTTCTTGAAATTAAGCAATAATGCTAAAATATGTATATTATATGCCCGAGATTAGAGAAAAGTTGTGTTTCCATTTACCTTTAAATTTTCTTCTCAACATTCACAATGTTTTTACTGCAAAAGTTTCAAAGTGTTTAAACTTTAACATAAATTTCTGTTGTTTGGATGTGCTAAGCTTGCTTGTACAGTATTTTAATGCTAACAAAAAGGTCAGTAATTGATCTAAAATAAAGTATTTAATTGGTTCCTTCAGAATGTTTCAGTAAAACTTGAAAAACAACAAACCCAACACATTAGTATTGAACAATGAGAAGTCTTGTGTGTCCAGCTTTAATTTGATAAGGCACAGATAAGAGAATGTCAAAAGTTAATAGCATTTATCATCTGCAAATTGACGTCATTAAGTAAAGTTCAGTTGAGTTAAACTGCAATGCATCCAATAAGTTAAATTGGGGTCCTAAACATATCATTGGAGAAAAGGTCAGAGCAACAGAAAACATATCCCCTTTGGATTGTGGCAAAGATCATTGAGAATTCTGCCATAAACTGCATTATGAACAAATACAGGATTCTGTTTGTTTATAAATTGATCTAAACTGGTTATAAATAATTTCTCTAAAAATAAAAAATAAACTGTGGCAATAAGGATATAAGTCTGTAGTTAGTGAACACAAATTTCTCACCATTCTTTTAAAGATAAATTAAATCAGCTATTTTCATATTGTCTGGAAACATTCCTGTTGAAAATGATAAATCACATGTAGTATATGTAAATGGCTCAATAATATAACTCATTATATGCTTTACAAACATCAAGTCCACATCTGCCCAATCTTTACAATCAGCTCAGTTCTTATCAGTTTCACCAAGAAAAATGCTGCTGGCACAACATGATTTTTTGCTAGCCTGACAAACACATGCACACAATAATTCACAAACAGACACAGGGAAGAAAATAAAAATAAACTCCAAAACAAACAAAACTAAACATTTTGTCTTCAGAAGTGAGCAATAAATGTACAAAAAGAGTTATACCCAACAGGATATAAAGTTGATAATGTGCTGTGAAATGACTGAGCCAGAGTAATTCCAGTGAATCTGTTTAGTCTTTATAGCTTCCTATGAAATCCTCGCATCCATAACTCATGGTCTGTCTGTCTTTGTTGTTCCAGTTAAGCAGCTCAAGCTTGTATATGAACTGCTTAGGTAGCAGTCATAGTCTAAACTTCCACAGCACATGCTTTTAAATCTAATCAATGGAGAGGTGATAATAGACAGTACATATGAGGTCTTTAATGTTATGACCTCATAACAAAAATGCTTGCAGACAATCTGGCGTCAGCGTTAGGATTACAGCCAGAGATTAGGCTATTCAGGGTAGTTGTCTGGAATTTTATCTTCTCACTCTAATCACATTAGGTAGAATCTTGTGCAGACAATTTTAAAAATTGATTACACTCAATAAATACTGCCAGCAAAACCAGTAACATTTAGACTCTAAAATGGCAAAACAGCTTTCGCAAAAGTTCAATGAGTTTATTGTCTATGCCTAAATGTTAATCCTGGCATGAATCTTTTTGTCTGTGTCTGTTTGTCTGTTAGCAAAATAGCTCATACTAAATGTATTTTAATAAACCCCTGAGAAAGTAATAACTGATTTACATATACAACCAGTTCATTTCAGATGGTAGCCACAGCTAGGTACACATTACCAAACACAAAGAAAAGGAAGGAAGTGGGCTTTGAGAATTCCTTAAAAAAATGCTAGATCTTGATAAAAATTAGCCCTGGATTAGGGTTGGATGATATGGCTAAAATTTTTATCATGATATAACTCCTAAACTTAGTTGATACGATACAATTTTAATATTGATGTGAATAACACAAATGTAAATGAAAAACTGCCAAAAATACCAGTATTTACTGTACATACAAACATATCATTTAAGATATCTTTAATTGGGATTGTGACTAGTCAGAATAAAAAGAGAGATATCTCAATTTTACTTTATGACTAGTCGTACATACACAGACAAACTATATATCAAAACGTGGGCATTTGTGTCTTTTTTCAGCCATTATTTAGGTTTATGTTTTGAAGGACAAATGGTTTCTTTCAAAGTGCATCAGAAGTCAGGGAAGTACCACTTCTTGCTCCCTCCATGTTAAATTTCTGTCATGCTCTGGTTCAGAAGCAGAAATCAGAAATCTCTTCCTGCTGTGGTGTAAGGTAGAGCAGCCGACTTGGGACCGCAAAGTCACAGGTTCGACTCCCCACCATGCCTACATGTCGTGTTGTCCTTGAGCGACACTTCTCAGGTGTGATGAGTCAATGCAGAGCACAAATTTTACTTACACTTACTTACTCACTTAGTAGCCAAGAACAAGCTATGAAAATTTCCAATGCTAAATCGAAATTCAAAATAAAGCTAATATAGCTAATTTGAAATGGCAATAACTGTGCCATTTTAAGACATATTGAGCTGAATGTTTTTGCGGTTGTAGCTAAGAGAAATCCAAGACTATGTTAAGAGGAAAGCCCTTTTGTAGTTTCTCCAGGAACTATTCTACGGTAGTTATTTTTCTTCTGCCGGAAAAACTCACACTGCAGCCCAAACCACAGAGACTATAAAGAAGAGATTGACATGGTGGTAGCTATGGATTACGAGTACAGAGTAAAAAAAGATAATCAGACATGTCTACCTTATTAGGGGGGTAAATCACTACTGAGTCACACTCCCGTTTCTGCCTAATTTTTTTCTACAGTGCAAAAAAATGCAAAAACTACAATACGAAAACATTATGACCCCCACTTCATATAGAGGGCATCATAATTATGAGTACAAACTTACTGGTCTTAAAGTCAATGGATAATTTTAAAATTTTTACCCAGAAGATGTTTCACAGATTGAGCTACTACTTAACAAAATAAGGTTAAGGTTTTATTTATTCATTTCATTCAATTTCATTAAAAAAATTATGTACAATAAAAACACAAATCACAAATAAAATGAAAGGCGACAGAAAGAAGAAAAGAAATCTTATAGTATCTGTGCCTTTTTTCTCAAAAAATTAATTTAAACAATAATGATCTACAAACAAAAACTAAACAAAAACAACCTCAAATCCTTATGAACAACATTTCATATGAATGCAAATTTTATTGTTTCATATTTCTTTAACAAAGTGACCTTTATCATTCTGTTAAACATAAATATTGATCTGGCATTTTTGACAGCACTCTCCAGATTGTTCCATAGGCTTATTCCTTGTATCGAAGTACATTTCTCCCTCAAACTAGTTCGAAATCCAGGTTTCACAAACATCTCTACCCCTTTCAGATTATAACAACTTTCTTTCTTAAAATTCAATTGGATATTTAAAGGCAATATACATTTGAGCCTTATACATAACCTGTAAATTATTATAATCAACCAACTCACAGAACTTCAATAAAATCAACTGATAAAATAATATATTTGATGTGTGCCTGTAGTGTTTTCTAGCAATAATTCTTACAGCTCTTTTCTGTAAAACAAAAATAGGGTTTATAATTGTTTTGCATGCTTTCCCCCAGACTTCAATGCAATAAATCAAGTGTGGAACACGTTACATTGATATACATCATCAATAGCATTTTGTCGTAACATTCCCTTACCTGGTAAAAACAGGAAGCTGGGATTGGATGACTTGAACTCGTATGATGACTAGCAGTAGGGTGCTGATAATGAGGACGACGAGTTTCAGCAGAGTTTGCAGGAGAGAGTAAGGAAATCCTTCTTTACCCTGTATGACCTGCCGCAAAGTGTTCAGCAGCATGGGAAGCGTGAACTAAAAATTAAAAAAAGACAGCAACAAACGGAAGAAAAAAAGAGTCAATAACAGTGTTAGATTTAAATTATTCTTCACTTTTATGATTTTGATCCTAAACATTTTCTAATTAAGATTGTTTATAAACAGTGCAGAGAAGGGTTGGGCGATACTGGCAAAAAAAATTATCACGATTTACTGTGCTATTTAGCCAATAACCATTAATATCAATTAATCTCCTGGAGTCCCTGAACTCCAGATCATTCTAGTCACGACTGATTTAAATCATTCCAGTGGGAAAGATTTGCTCTCTCGAAGAATCTGTTCCAGTTTGTGTCAGATATACAGACTTCAGCCTATCAATCAGTTTTTTTTAATTGTGTTGTGTTGTTTGGCCAAGTAAAACCAAAGTGAAACTGTGGCCATATCGCCACCCGGTGACCGGCGTGAGGAGAAACGAACTGGCCTGCAGCTCATCTGGTAGGGGGTGCAGAACCTCCGGAACCGTCAGTCCTCTGGTGTCCGCTGCTCACTGGATGATGTCTGGGAGGGCGCTCACAAGTGCCCTGATGGAAGGCAGTGGGGTGGTGGTGGATCGAGGAAGGCCCAGCTCCCTGGGCTCCTCCTGACTGCGGGCGCTCGACTCCATCCCAGTCGCCTGGGAGGGGTGGGTCTGTTCGCCACTGTCGTCTTCGGCCTCTAAAGCAGAGTCCTCCGACTCCGGTTCAGAGGAGATGATGTCGTCGACTGCCACAGATGCGAAAGCATCGATGTCTTCTTCCAGCTCCGTGAAGAACTCAGCCCGCCATCGTCTTTCTTCTAGCGGCAATCTCGGCAGGCGATGTCTGTCGCCAAGCCCTGGTTGGCGTGTTCGGCGCCGAGGCACCCTTCAAACACCACACGCAGGTCGGAGGCAGCATGTATCCAGTGCCGCAGGCGGGGCAAATCTTCTTCTGGCTGGGCATGATGAAGTTCAAGGCGTAGTTAATAGTTTGGTAGCTGAAGAAAAAGAGGGAAGCAAGCTCGGGTCCGGCCGGCTTATATGCGTCCCCGAGGTGGGATCCCACTCTACGGGGGCGTAGACTATTGGTTTATTCAGAATGCGTGCAAGGTGTGGAGGGATACCCATCAGCGATAGCCTTAGAGGGCGGAGCTTACACGAAATAGAACACTGCAACACTCCAGCAGCGCTGAGGAGCAGTACTCTGATCAGCTTTGCCTTCTGCAACTTCTTTTTGTTTAAAACTATTTTTTCCTGAAGCTAGTTGTTAAAAGAGCTTGAAAAGCAGTTAATTCGATGCTACTGAATTAAAAAAAAAGTTTTCTCTTCTTCAACCAACATGACACTGATCACTGAGTGATAAAAAAAATAAAAAACACAATACCCAGCCATCTTTATGGCTGTTTATGTACTTATATGAGCTGTTGGAGGGCAGAGGGAGAATCTATGATAATTTATAATTTTCAACTCGTTTATACTGGCTCAGGAAAAAGACGTCCAAACTTAGGCAATCTCCAACCTGCTGTCTCACGGCTAACTGAAGTATAATCCTTGATCAGTTGCTTGGTCAGCCCCCTACTTTTTTAAAAAAGCCTCCTGCTCCAGAAACTTCTGAACCCCCTAATGAATGTTACATTTTCTGAGACCTTGAACACAAAAAAAGTATTTACATACCCCTTGTGCAACAAACACTTCATGGACACAGCAGATGCCCACCACCGTAATTCCCTGCTCTTTACAAAGTGTTGCTGCAGCCACCAGCACTACAGTCAAAGTGATGGGAGGCCAAACTGAAAGAGAGAAAAGCAAAAGGTAGATGACAATTGTATATTATCTCAAATACCTGTTTTATTATGTATAAATATGACAAGTTTTTACAAACAAAGTCATCTAATTAGTCCTTACACAGTTTTAAAAAGTATTGACAAAGAAATTTACTTGGAATATTTTAAAAAGGTTGGTTCAAGTTTATTGATTTAGCTCTAAATATCCGTTAGACTGCTTTCTGATTAACTTTCTAATAATGGAACGTCAGGTTTTTTGTTCTTTTTTTAAGATTGGTCTGAAGAACACATTTTGTTCTCTGTTAAGTGCCAGGAGGACTGCGATCAGTTATACATCGGGGAAACAAAGCAGCCACTGTTCAAAAGAATGTCCCAACACAGACGAGCTACACCTAATGGCCAGAACTCTGCAGTTTTCACTCATTTACAGGCCAGCRGTCACTCTTTCAGAGATGAGGATGTTCTCATTCTTGATAGGGAGGAACGTTGGTTTGAGAGAGGAGTAAAAGAAGCCATTTTTGTGAAGAAACACCGTCCATCATTAAACAGAGGTGGAGGCCTCCGTTTTCAGTTGTCCCCCTCCCACAGTGCGGCTATTGCCAGTATCACTCCACCCCCTGTTAACAATAAGTGTTAATTAGGTGTCAACGATAGCCATGTGATGTGAGTATCAGTCACATGGAGGCAGTGCTTAAAAGCCTGAATTTTGCCTGAAACTCTCAGACTGAAGAAGTCTCTTGGAGGAGAGACGAAACGTTTCATTAGAGAAGAACCCGTCCAGAAGACCTATACAATTTTTTTCTTTTTGATTTTTTACCTGGATTACTGAGATGCATCAGGACAACACATATTGTTCTTTCATGTGTCAGAAAGAATTAATGACAACTACATACGATGGCTCTTTGGACAAATCTATGAACACCATGATACTATCAATGACAGAACTTTGTCATTCACACATTGCTGCCAAGCACTGTACTTATGCAGCTTTTAAGTTGCAGGCTGCTAAACTGTAGCATGATTCAGCAAAGTGCTACAGTCTGTAAAGCAATACGCTGTGTGCTACAGAAGTTAACCAATTCAATAATTAACAGGGATTACATCAGCTTTAGCTTATTTTAATTTTAAACTTACATTATGAACGTCAGTTCTGGTCAGATCACATACACACCAAGGTAAATAAAATCAAATCTGCTTACTTGTGACATGAGACATGTTTTCCTGTTTTTCTTCTGTTGGTAAAGCCATAACACAAATGGCTTTCTGACATTTCTATATACATTAGATAGCCTGTACACAACTAAACATTAAGAATAATTTTGTTAATATTAATAGTTTTTACAAGTTCTACATCATCAGCCTTTTGTCTCTATGCTGCCAACATGTAGAGTAATGGTAAATCCAGATTTTTGCACGTTCAGCTTAGCCCCTCAGCTGCTACAGCACATCACGGTGACTTGGTCAAGACTCACTCTAGTTGTTATATAGACTTCCAGGGGTACTATATAACCACACTTCATTTACCATTTACAAAATAAACGTGATATATTGAAGACAACTTCAACCTTGTGCTAACTACATGTTTTACTGCACAAAAATCTATGAGCACCAAGATTTTCCCAATGGAAAAAAAACCTGCATGTTTTACTGCACAAAAGAACGCCACAGATAGAGCGGCATTTAATCATTTTTTTAAACAAACAAATGCAATTATTCTAAAGTACCTCTTGAGTTCTTTTTTCAACATTTTTGGCCTAGCATTTCTTGAAGGAATGCCCATCACACATGCCTTTCACGTTGGAGTTTTAAACTAAGATCACTTGCGTTGAGAAATGATGGTGATATATTTTGTTTATGTTAAGTAGTTTTGTGCTTAAAGTAAAGTAACACAATCAGTTTTGTATATTAGACAAAAGAGGAAATAGAATTGCATTAACCTTACCAATAGAGTGGTCAGAGCCAGTTGATTTTGTATATGCCAGGAAAGCAGCTAGGAGGAAAATTGAAGAAAGAAGTTCAGCTCTGCCGACCACACCAGTGACCTGATGAGAAAAAGTGACATAATTCCTGCCGTTTATTCAAATTGATAAGGAAAAATCAACATTTTGTCATCCATTCAATTATCCATTATTCTAATACCATAAAATGCTAGAAATTAAATGTGCAAAGCTGACCACAAGCACACTTTTAATGTCAGGCCACCTGGTACTCATTGTTCAATTGAAACTGGATTAAAACAATTTAAGAAGTGGACACAAGCAAAGGGCTGCTGTGAACAGCTGCATAGTTCACAACGTCGAGACGTAATTTTTATGCATTTCTCTTTTAATTTCTTAAATGCTAAAACTGAAAAACGAACTGTAATTATCTCTCTGACAATGTGCTTAAGTATGTCAGTCAACCTATCATTTCAAACTATAAAGGCAAAAAAAATCTGCAGTATGGAAAGTATGGAAGTACTTAAAAATTGCTTACATTAAAAGGGTAGATTGTACGGTCTACCAAGTCTTTGGTTCAAGAGCAACAGAAGAAAAGCAATATGCACAAAGGGGCTATGATGTGCCAGCAGGGAAAAAAAAAATCTAATTCCACGTTATGACGTTACACAGACTATTTGCTACATTTAAAATAAGATAGCACTTTATTATATTATCTATTATATGAAACATAATGTTTGATTAATACTGAGCCACTCACTGCAGTGAGTTGTGTTCCCCTCTTGAGATCTGACTTCCCCAACAGCTACACTCGTATTTCCAATCTTGTATTTTAAGCAACAGTTTACGCAAAATGCAAAAAGAAATTTTCTCAGTCTCTTATTGGCCTTTCAAATTTATGCCTATTAGTCAAAGCACAGCTGAGATTCAAGTGTGCTGCTGTCATCTTAACTCAATGTCAAATATTTTATAGTTTGTGTAAACACTGTTTTCTTTTTTTTTTTTCCACCTGTCAGTTTATAAATGCACAGCTGTACTAGCAGAATTACAATGAGGCTAGTTATACTGTATTATAAAAAGCTCATTTGTTATTTAAGCTTATAAAAAACCAAAAGCAAACAAACAACAAAAATTACATTTGAAGTGCAATTTACAACCCTAACTCCAATGAAGTTGGGATGCTGTGTAAAACTAATAAAAATAGAATACAGTTTAATAAATCATTTAACCTATATTCAATTAAATACCCTACAAAAACAACATATTTAATGTTAAAACAGAAAAACTTTACTGGTTTTGATCAAATATTCACTCATTTTGAATTTGATGCTGCAACACGTTCCAAAGAAGTTGGGACAGAGTCAACAAAAGACTGGAAAAGTTGAGGAATGCTCAAAAAACACCTGTTTGGATCATTCTACAGGTGAACAGGTAGGCTATTTGGAAACAGGTGAGTGTCATGATTGGGTATAAAGGGAGCATCCACGAAAGGCTCAGTTTTTCATGAGAAAGGATGGGGCGAGGTTCACCACTTTGTGAACAACTGTGTGTGCAAATAGCCCAACAGTTTTCAACGTATTGTAAGGATTTTAGGGATTTCATCATATACTGTCCAATGCCAGTGACCTTGGATCCCTCAGGCGACAATAATTTCTTTCAATGGCATTTTGTGCCAGGTTAGAATACTGCAAAGCTGGAGGTTTTTTAGAAAGATTATTTTAATCGGTTGTTAATTTCTGGCCAACTGACGTGTAGAAAACAAGGTCTGGTAGAATCAAGTGATACATTTTGCAGATCCTTCCTTCAGCAGACTCACAGGTGTCAAAACAACCATTCAAAAAAAAAAAATCATCGGTATGTGGCTAACTTATTGACAGAGGTGTTGTGGCACATTCCACAACAAGATACTTCATATGTATGAGAAGACACTGAATTACTGACAGGGTTGAACACGTCGTCTACAACTGGTCTGAGCTCTTGAATCCAGCTGTGAAAACAAGTCTGTTCAGGTAAATCATTTCAGCAGACTCAAAGCACCTCTTATTTCTCTTTAAGAGAACCGCTTTGACAGTGACTTTGGTCGTTTATGTAAATGATGACTGCCCTCAAGTGGAAGAAACAACCTTCCCAGTTCCATCAAATTCCTGCTTTATTACTAATAGACAAACCCTACATATATAAGGCTCCCATACATGGTTCTAAAAAGGACTTTAGAACAGTCAAGGTTCTTGTGGGTTGTCATTGAGAACACATCAAATCATGAAGGAAAAAAGTCCACTTTCCCTTAAGTCTAAAGTTTTATGTATGAGAACATAAAAATGATTTGCTCTTCAGCCGGTTCTGAAATTTTTCAAACCATACCACAAGTGTACAAAAACCAACAAAACAGATTCCATTGTTATTATTTATTAAACAAAAGCGAAGCCAAAAAGGAAAAGATGTGCGTGGAAAAAATGTGTCAAGCCCATAATTCAATCCTTTGCTGCAATAACTTGCACATGCACCAATGCGAAAGGAACTCACAGGATTGAGACTCAACAGCTGTGTAGTCGTAGGAAAACCATTTATTGGTGAAGCTAATGAGAAAGAAACGGCTTCAATTTGATACGGAACATAAAGATTGGACTCTGGAGCAACGGAAAATTTAACCTGTTTCAGGTGATTTCGGGTAAGAAGAGAGATACTGAAGTGATGCATCCATCATGCTCAAACCTTTCCATTGTCAAGTCTCACTCTGACCGCTTCATGTCTGCTTGGTTCTAAGATAATGACCCAAAGCACACTGCCAACAAAACAAAGGACTTCATCGGGAGAAAAAAGTGGAAGGTTTAAAGGGATCCATAGTTTCCCTTCCCTGCTCCGTCTGGGACTTTTTGAGATGGGTTTCGCTGGCAGATTTTTAGCCGGGCCAATCAGAACAGAACGTCAATTTTCTGCGCAGTGTCTGCTTGTAGTTTATTTTACCTGGGCCAATCAGAGAACAGAAGGTGGAGTTTTGAACAATGTCGATTTTCTGCACAGTGTCTGCTAATTAGTTTAGCATACGGCAGTGGAGGAAGTGAATGAAGCCAGTCTGTGTTGATAAGGCTTCCAAATTAAATTAAATTTGTCTGACAAAGCAGCAGCTCTCATTTACAGTTGTCTCGTTCGGCTCGATATGTTTCTCCTCTCAGTAGGGTTGTTTACAGCGCTCGCGATTCCGGTTAGCTTCTTAGCTTAGCCTCCTCCACAGCGACATACGTCGCAGCCAACTGATCCAATCATTTTAAACTTCAGCAGAGGCCACGCCTCCTTCAAGAATCACTTCTCTATGCATCAAGTCCAGACCCTTGTACGAAACAAAGTGAAGGACGAGGGTCTGGTTTTAACCAGGCTAAGGGATCCATGATTAGTTGTAACATTAGCCTTTACTTGATAAACATACTGTATATTTTAACAGCAAAATAAAGACTGTATTCAGACCAGAAAGAGTCCTTTGGTCCACTTCTTTGGTCCGGACCAAAAGTGGACTTTTTTTTTTTCGTTTGGTGCAGTTTGCATTCACATTGTGCTTTTTTGCAAACGAACTATAAGTTGTAAACAAAGCCATGAGGATGACGATCATTGCTCCCATTGGACAAAAAAGGACGGGGGCGGAACTGAGCCACAGACCCAGAAGAAAACAAGGAAGTCCTGCATGCTGCGGTTCTGATGTGCACATATTTGCTGATAGTACAACTGCAATAGCATTTAAAATATCAAAAGCAGATAATTTTATGGTGGTTTCGTGATGATATTCTAATTTTGGAGCGACGTCACATAAATGTGTCCCGCAACCCAAAGGAGACGAGGTGCTCTGCATGTTCTGACCCACAACATGCTGCCAGCAGAGCTGCTAATAGGAGATGATGAAACAAGTTTGATTTCAGTTTATTTAGCTCAGCAACGGTGRCCTGTGAAGTCCAAAATGGTGCATGTTTAATGCAGTTGGTTCGGTTAGAGTCCGGTCTGTATTCACACCAGAAGTGAACCGCACCAGAGTTCGTTTGGAAGCGGACCGAGACCACCTCAAAAAGCAGGTCTCGGTCCGGTTGTTTGATCCGCACCAGAGTTCGTTTGGAAGCGGACCGAGACCACCTCAAAAAGCGGGTCTCGGTCCGGTTGTTTGATCCGCACCAGAGTTCRCATGAGTGTATTCACACCTGCACAAAAGGTCCGGACCAACACTGGAAACGAACTCTGGTTCGTTTAAAGTGGACCAAATTGTCAGGTCTGAATATGACCAAAGACTGTAAAAATAATGTAGGATGTTCAGTTTTTATCATTTTTAAAATAAAAGTTTAAAAATTTATTACACGGATGGGGCAATTTTATTTACACACAAAGCATTCTGGGTGAATGACGTGGATAGGTCCTCGGTGCGAGGCTGCTAGTGAGCTATATCCACCCTGAAGGTTAATCTTGGACAAAATCTGATGATCGACTCTTTTAAATGAAACCAGAGAGCGTTGACAGAGAGGAGAAGGTAGAAATGACTCAGCCTGGAACTGAAAATATGGATGGAGGACAACAGAGCTGCTTCATGGAAGAAGAAACTCAGCCTGTTAGCCTTCGCGTTAGCACCGACGCTATATTGCCTTATATGAATTAGCTTGGCGCTAGTGCGACAAACAAGCTAGAGGTCCTCCAT